GTATAGCGCCCATGGCCGCAAAATGGACATATAGTGTCCGGATGCGGAGGGTGCCTGCAGTCAGGAATGGTGGGACAATCCTCTGCACACATGGATTTAGAAACCATGTCATTGTAGTGATTGTGACAGAGACGATGGCGGCCACAGCCGAGTGTAACAGTGTTTGTGGTTGTGCAAAGGAGAAGGTCGCTGAGTGTTGGTACATTGTCTTGCTGCAGCACGGGGCTAGAGGAATGATCTTCAACATAAAAGAGATTGCGGACAACTTGTTGTAGCAAGAAAAAACATCATTCTGTAAGAAATCGGTGACATCAATCATGGCATGGACCATGGTGCCGTTGTCCCACAGCTCCCAGTGGTCAGAGGCATGTACAATGGCCATGTAATGGCCAAGGCCGTGCACAATACAGACAGAGATGTGGGATGGAGGATTAAACCACTCACCTGCTCGAGCATTGCGTAGCTCAAGTTGACGGTCCCTCATTGCTACGTAGGACAGCAATGGTAAAGCCTCCTCCGCTGGTATAATTACAATCCTCTGGCTGTCGTTGGGGAAGATCAGCATCAAGCTGAAGGGCGATTGCAAGGAAGTCTGATGGTGTATAAAACGGGCGATGGAGAATGTGAAGACAAATATTAGTTGCTGTCAGACCACAAAGATTGGTGAGGTTCTCAGGCTGGTTTGTTGGATGCTGGCCAACTATTTGCAGATCACCCAGATGGTGTTGCAAGCCCAAACTGTGTTGGGTTGTTTGCTGGTCAGTCATTTGCAGATCACCCATGTAGTCTGCGTGTGGCGGAGCACAAAATTGCGGTTCATCCGAACAATGCTGGTCAACCATTTGCAGATCCCCCATGTGGTCTACGCCTTGTGGGGTCAACTGCAATCCAGGTAGATCATGTTCCAATCCCTCAACGTTTAGGGCTGCATCCTGAGTAGGGACTGTACCTGGAGTCGGGAGTGTACTCTGTGCAGCGGCTGCGTCCTGAGTAGGGACTGGTGGCTGCCTGCAGGCAGCTGGACTGTCTACAGTAGGCATAGGAGCAGATATTGCCGTTTGAAACAAAGGAACCGCAACAACCTGTGGAGGAGGCACAAAGAGAATCGGGGCAGACAAAGAAACAGGTTGCTGATCCCCGGACAAGTGACGATGTCGCGGATGTCGTCGGTGATACGCAACAAGAGTAATGGTGTTGCAAACAGAAGCTGAACTTGTGCCTAGCAACACAGGTAGAACAATGAGAACAATGGAAACTGGAGAGTCTGTTCGCAAGCGAGACCGTGGAGGAGATGGGGGTGGTGAGGAGGAACGCAGTCGTCTACGGCTAAGCATAAACAAAGATGAGAGGGGGGTGCATTGGGCAAGATTTCGGAGCAAAGGACGTGAGAGTCGGAGAGATTGTGATGTTCTTTGCATTGGAGCTGTAGGACAAGAAGCTCTAGTAGTAAAAACTAAAGTAGGGGGAATTACAGTTAGCGAAATTGTTGTACTGAAAACTGCAGCAGTGGAAACCGCAGCAGTAGAAACTGCAGCAGCGGAAACTGGAGAAGTGGAAACGGGAGCAATTGAAACTGCAGCAGTGGACAGTGCAGCAGTGGAAACCGCAACAGTGGACAGTGCAGCAGTGAAAACTGCAGCAGTGGAAACCGCAACAGTGCACACTGCAGCAGTGAAAACTGCAGGAGTGGAGACTCCAGTAGTGGAAATTGCAAGAGTGGAGACTGCAACAGTGGAAACTGCGGTAGCAGCAGATGAGTAAGCAGGGGCAGAACGAGAGCATCGTGGGGGCGAAGAAGAAATTGGATGATACAAGGACCATCGCAACATTCGTCGGAACCACTGAGAGATACGAGTCACATGTGTAGGATGGCGACGGCGGCGGGAGCGCATGTAGCAGGTCCACCCCTTAGCAAGGGTTCGTGGGGAATGCCCACGCGAAAGCATATGACGAGTAAGTGTTGTTGCCGCAGTTCGAAAGTCCTTCCAATTGTTACAAATTTGTTCAAATCTGGTCAATTGCCCAGTGAACACACCAGCCGGTTGATGGGAAGGGATGTTGGAGGTCGCACGTGGATAACGAATGATAGGGAAGCCCCAAGCAGCTGCTTTATCAAAGACGCTCATGCGAAGCGAGCCATCGGAACGAACCCGTACATGCATACCTAAAAAGGTACAGGAGCCATTTCTAGCTGTAGTCTCCTTCCACTCAAGCCCATATTGTTCTGGTGGAGGAGGTTATTGTCCCCATGAAAGAACATCATCAATGAGGCGATAGGTGAAGGCATATTGTTGAGCAGCTTGAAGATCATGTTGACGAATGTCATCAACAAAGCGTGCTTCATCCCAATACAGCGTTAGATTATAAATTTATGGGCCAGCATTCATTCCCATTGGAATACCGATAATTTGTTTCCGAAGCGTGCCATCTCTCGTGTATAGAAAAATGTTTTGAACAACAAAGTGAAGATGTTGGAGAATCTGAGAAACAGAAAGGGTATTCGGGCCTGAATCAGTTGTCCATTGGCCACAACTAGGTCCTCGAATAACCATGTTGAGGGCAACTCAGCGTGAATGCGTGCGAGCTTGCTGAAGGGTATAAGCATGAGCTTCATCAACAACTTTTGCCACATTATTCAGAATGCGGTCATGAGGAAGGTTGGTGTACATTGTGGTAAAATCAACAGTGCGAGGAGAGAGGCCACAAAGAGATGATGCATTGTTTTTCAGGTCAATCGCCACTTCATCGACACTTTGAACGATCCAGCACCGTTGAACACCAACCTGTTGATAGAGCTCAGTGTCTTTCTCGCGAAGAGTAGAGATCATTCCTTGCAAAGCAACGCTGAGATACGACGAAGTAGCTGTTGTGCTAGCCAAGGGTTTGTGAGGAGGCCGTTTATGAATGGTGCGAATTGTTTGACGAGGGCGAGAACGCGGGGGAACAACACTGTTATTTTGTGCTGTGACTCCAAGAATGCTGTGAAGAGCTGGAGGAGACTTTGAGTACATAGTAAAGGTAAGGTAGGGTATCAGTGTGGGTGTAACCCCAATGGTGATTCCACACTGCATGGTGGTCAAGGACATCAGCAACAGACTCTTGAGGACGAATATAAGTGGGACTGTCCAAATGGGTAGAGAGATGAAACAGATACCAATTCTTGCAGCAAATTGCCAAATTGTGTGATGTTTTGTCCATAGGGACAATGACAAAGTGTTGTTGAAGATGGTGCAAGGAGGCATGTGTAGAACGTAGTGAACGTGGCTGGCTCACATGATTGGAGAACGAAGATGCATTGGATTGACAATGCGCAAGGATTGCAGAATGCCAGTTGTTCAACTTATTGTGTCTGTTGACTACAGTATCATCTCCGATGATAGCCTTCGCAAGCTTTTTCAAGAAGGCTCGATGTATCGGGTAAATGGGGAAACTGCCGACGTGCTCCAGTCACTGGCAATTGGACTAGACAAGTACATTGCCAATTACAAAAGGTTATAAAATATTACCGGGAAGCTCTGTTTGATGATATATTGTCACATGTGATGACCCGTCCAAACATGGACTGAAACACACAACTGATTTCTGAGTTTTGCCCATAGACTGACTGCCCTGCTGAGTTTCCCGCTTGCTACTTAGTCCGTGTGCACGCTTGGTGGACTGCATGTCTGTCTGAGTGCTGGTTGGCTTGAGTGTGTGTGTGGCCGTGCCTGTCTGAGTGCTGATTGGCTCGAGTGTGTGTGTGGCCGTGCCTGTCTGAGTGCTGGTTGGCTTGAATGTGTGTGTGGCCCGCAAGGGCACTTGCTCATTCATTGGGCCCTCATGGCCGGTACTTACCTGTGGCCGTGACATTGAGGGATGGCAGCAGGAAAAACACTCAAGTAGCGGGTAGGCCGGTACCGCACCCTGAAGGGGTAGATGTTCGGATACTGGAGGCCGAGCAGAAGAAGACAAAAGTGGCATTTTTAGAGGCCCAGTAGTTGTAGGTTAGGTCTAGGCGGATACCAGTCCAACCAGTCTGGGCCTAGGGCCTGTACCGGCAATATCAGAGTCTACAATGATGTTTCCCTCCGAAAGGGAGAAGGTACCAGTTGCTTGGAAGGCCGAGCAGCCTGGAAGTCACCGCCCGAAGAGGCAAGCAGGCCACTATATTTCCCAGCCGGGTGAAGAGCCCGGCCTCTTTTTCGGTGTGCAAGTTTGGCGACACACTGGTTGAAGCACCGGTTGGAGCAGCGCTATCCAACAGTAGCGCTGCTGGGTGAAGGAGAAGGATACGGAGCAGGAAGAAGGACAGGAAGGGGGAGGAGCGCCAGGGGTGCTTACCTGGCTATGGTGGCAGCCATCTTCATCACCTTGGTGGGCGCTGCAGCAGGGAGTCCCCAACTGGCGAGACCTACACCAAGAAGCTTCGAGGCAGGGTCGGGCATGGCGGCCTGAGCTAGAGCAGCCATAGCTGCTTTGGGTTGTCCTTTGGGCATCTGGGCAAGGCCTAGTAGTCCGCCATAGCCCCGGCCTATGAGAGTGAAGAGTGGGAGAGGCGGCCATGGCTATGGTGGACCTCAAGTGATACCTGCAGTAGAAGAGGAACTCGGACATTGATTCTGGATCAGCCATTCAACATTGTATTATTATTTCTTGTATGCATAAGAGAAGGGGGAGATAAGGAGGAGGAGATTGTTGGGCGAAGAAGAAGAGCATTGTCATTTGTCTATGCTGGTGTACATCATCTTCTTCTTCTTTCTTACTTCTTCTTCTTCTTCTAATCCTCCCTCTCCTCTCAAGTTCATTCATTTCTTTCTGCAATCGGACGGCATTGTACTATCTGATGGATGTGTATCTCGAAATTGGGCAGGATCATAACACACATATCTATGAACTAAAAGAGCGCACTTTGTGAAACAAACGGTAAAAAAAACAAAAAAAAGTTAAAAAAACAGCAATATATTTTCCCAAAAGAAGGATGATGGCCTTCAGATATCATCATTGAGCTGACCAACCCCCGGTGATGTAGAGTTATTTTACTTATCTGATTCCATGAGGATTAGAGCTCAGGTCTGATTATCAGCAGTTGATGAGTGTACCATTCAGCCACAAAGGCTGGCCCCACTTGCCACATCTGATCCCATAAGCGCTCACAACTTGTTTACCTGCTTCTCCTAGATAGACTTGGAGTGGAGTTGGTTGGTCTTAAGATGTTTTTGCAAATCAGTTCACAATTATTTCTTTTTGCACCACTGAGCGTTTGCTCGCAAGTAGGTATTGGTTATGGCGAGATGTAATCTTTTCTGCATCTAACACTTCGACTCCCTGTATACACACTTCACACAAACTTAAAACAAGATGCCGCACTTTGCACGCACAAACACACTCACACATGCACGCACACACGCTCGCACACACACACACACACATACGCACACAGACACACACACTGCATTCTTTGATGAAGGCATGCCTGTGGGTGGCCATGAGTTTTTTCGGGGTGCGAATGTATGTTTTGAGTTTTGGCCACAGTATCGTTGTGAGGAGGCTCAAAGAGTGTCTGCTGTGGGTGTCATTCCCACGGGCTGCTCTTTTGGAGCACACGGAAGAAACAGGGGCTTCTAGGGTGTTTTAAACAGTAGCGCTCCAGCTCTCCCGTGGAGATCTTGTGGATTTGGCATAGTTTGCACAATAGTTTTGGTGTAGCGATATGAGGTCATTCGATTCTGGAGTTTGTGGTTCATGGCAGTGTTTGTTTGATTTCTGGTGGTTTTGTGGGACGACTCAGAGGGCTCTCTAAGTTTTTTCAGACCAAGCCCTAGGGGTTGCGGGCAGGGTGAGTACTTTCTTGTTGGCGGGTCTTCTGGGTTGTGGCATGTAAGTCATTCGTTTGGTATTGCCTTATGCCTTCCATCCTTTTACAGATTATAATTTATAATACATTTGTGCATGTGGCGCTTTGGTGGCAGACGGGTGTGTGGGCACTTGGCGCTCAACCACACGAACATGGCCAACTTTGCACCTTCTTCTATACCCTTTTTGTTTCATGGATGGTCTGTGAGTTCTTTGAAAAACACACACCACACACACTTGACAATAGCAAGTGCATTTGACTGGCTTGCCAACAGAAGAGCAAAAACCGAACATTGACAAATTCAGAGGGACAAAAGAAAGGCTAGAGGAAGAGAACAAGTGTTTTGAGACCAACCATACACCGCATGGTCACTTGATGCACAGACCAGATGACACACACACCCTTCAAAGCACAGGTGAGATGTAACTCGGAGATAGTATCTGCCAATCAACTCAGTTAGAATTGGCTTTATACAAGAGCGGCTATGGCCGCCAGCAAGCTCCCTCAGGTATGGTTGCTGTCCCCTCAGTCTCACTTCTCTTTCCCTCACCATGGTATCTCTCTCTGAATACCTCCTGAATTACACCACCTCACACTGGACCTGGATATGGCTACTCTCTAAGGGTGCCAGCGCCTTCGACTATACTGTCAGCCAGAGTCCACGCTATAGCACAAACCCCAGTATCACCAAGCAGTGCACTCCTCAGTATCCCAAAATAGTGCAGTGGCACCTCCACCTGAGCCAGAAGTAAATATGTACTGACTGCTTCTCCAGCTGGACTTTTGTACTTGACAATTCACCTTCCGGACTGCAGCTACCAGTTATTCATTCGTGGCTTCCGGAAGTTCATGGACTGTCCTGGGACTTTGCTGCCGACTCGCTGGCCTAACAACTTCTACGGACTCTTTCCAACCCATAACTGTTATCAACCAGAACTTCCTACCATGGCCATCTTAAAGATATCCTACCGAGGCAGTGGTTAATATTTGTACAAGTGACTGAGACCGACAGTGGGACTGCGAGCTGGGAGGGGAATAAAAAGTTGTGCCTCCTTTTTTCTTTTTCTTTTAAGAAAGTAAGGGAAAAGCAGGCAAGCACAATCTCAGTACCTGGCCTCAGTTTGTGATGCATCGATAGTGATAGTCTCAACCGGATGATCGGATGCTCCACTCCTCGGCGACCTGTTGCAATTGACGGACCACGACACGCTCATCATTTGGTGATCTGCTGCACTCACAGCCTCAATGAGCCTTTTACTATCACTTTTTTTGAAGTTACATCAAGTTCTTCATTTGATGACTTATGTCACACACTCCAAGCTGATATATGATCAAGTTCATCGTCCAAGCTCCAAAATGTGAATATTTGGACCTAGCTAGCTTTCCCGGGGCGCTCGGCTGGGCGTGCCCGGCCGGGCGCCCCGGGCTCCTCGCCCGGGTAGGTACCTCGCCCGGGGTTCTGCCATAATCCGGGGGTTTGTTGCGCTTGCCGAGTACTGCCGGAATCCGCCCTCTTTTTTTTTTTCAGCCATATTGGAT